CGGAGTGAGAAAATTATTATTTTGCTTTTTTCAACAACTTATTTTTTCAATAGTGCGTACCGTAGAAATTTTAGGGCGGTCTTTTTGCCGGCAATAAGCAAAATTAAAAAAATCATGTTTTCCGCAAAAAATAGTTAAAATATTCAGCAATTTTTTAGTATCTAAGGGTAAATTATATTCTCAACAGTATTTTTTGCTAAAAAGGTTATGTTTTCCCGTATTAATATAATAACGATATTCTTTTTTAATTACCGCTCGGAGCGGATGAAAACTGGCCTTCACCCGCTGCACACTTTTAATTGTAAGATACTCCCGCAAGGATTTCGCCAGAATCAGTTTTAATTTTGAGGAAGTTAGAAAAAAATTGAGGCGTAAAGTAAATTTTTGCTCGCGAGCGTGAACTCCTTTATCGGTCCGACTGGTGGCTAAAATATTAATTTTTTGGGCTAAGACTCTGCTAAGTATATTTTCAATATAGCCTTGGACAGTAAATTCCTCTGGTTGCTTAGCCCAACCGGCAAAATTACTTCCATCATAAGCAATAGTTACTAAATAAATGTAGGTTGCTTTTTTTTCGCTTTCCATTTATTTTTTTTAAACTAAAAATATGCTTTTCCACGCCTAAATTATTTTCTATTTAGCGGTAGAACTGGCTAAACTATTCAAGGTGATTTCGCGCATTTTTTTATTAATGTGCCGACAAGTAGCTTGGAAAAGTTCCGAAGTTTCCCAAAAAAAGGCTTCTTGGGGGTCTTGCGGTAATCAGGCCCGCACGTTAACTAGGTTCTTAACTTTTTCCAAACTTTCTAAATAATTAGCTCAGGCAAAATCAATTTTGCGAACCAACTGCGATTTTAAATAAGGCTGCGGTTGTTCTTGGTGCCGAGCGGCTACTTGGGCAGGCAAAATAACCGCTAAAAGGTTGGTACTAGCCAAGATACGTTGGCGATATTTATAAACCTTTTGGCGCTGGTGATTAATTAAGAGGTCGTGGTTTAAAGTATGTTGGCGACCGGCATTTTGCGAATTACGGATGGCTTCTTGTGGTTCGGAAACCATCATATTAAATCATTTGCCGCTTAAAGGTTTACGGAAAAGTTCTTGTAAATTACTGCCGCGAAAAATTCGGGTAATTTGGTCTTTTACTTCGTAATTTTTAATTAAGTCATCTTCTAGGGAGACATAGAATTGGCTTTCTCCGGGGTCCCCTTGCCGGCCAGCTCGACCACGCAATTGATTATCAATGCGGCGACTGAAATTTCGTTCTACTCCAATTACTAACAGACCGCCCGCTTTTTTACTTTCTTCGCTTAAAACAATGTCCGTTCCGCGTCCGGCCATATTAGTGGAAATAGTTACCGCTCCTAGTTCACCGGCTCGGGAAATAATTTGGGCTTCCTCGCGGTGGTTAATCGCGTTTAATTTATGGTGAAAAACCCCTTCCTGGGTTAATAATTTTGATATGTGTTCGGAAATATCTAGGCTGGGGGAACCTACTAAAATTGGTCTTTTGACTGTTTGGGCATTTTTTTTAATCCTTTTAATAATGGCTTGATATTTGCTCTCTTTATCTAAAAAAATTAAATCATCCCGGTCTTTACGAATTAATTTTCTATAAGGCCGAATAGCCATTACTTCCATTCCGTAAACTTGCCGAAACTCTTCGGCTTCGGTCATGGCGGTGCCGGTCATTCCCGCCACTTTATCAAAAAGACGAAAGAAATTTTGGTAAGTAATCACCGCCGTGGATTTGCTGGGCGGACTGATGGGAATTCCCTCTTTGCTTTCAATGGCTTGCTGAATACCGCCACTATAAACTCGGTTAGGCACCAGTCTGCCGGTTAAGGCATCAATAATGACAATTTTTTTTCGTTCGTAGTCTACAATATATTCTACCCCATTTTGATAAAAATGCTTGGCTTTCAAAGAATTATGGAGCAAAAAATTGGTTTCGTGGTGTTGAAAGGAAAAAAGGTTACTAATTCCATAAAATTCTTCGGCTTTTTTAACTCCTTGCTTAGTTAGCCAAAGTTCTTTTTCCTTGTCGTCTAGTTTATAATCTTTTTTTTCCCCTAATTCCTGGGCCAAGTAGGTAGATTTTTGGTGCTTTTCTTTAACGGCCAGTTCATCGCTTCCTCATCTTTGCGAAATAATTAAAGGATTTTGGGATTCATCAATTAAAGTTGAGTCCACTTCATCTAACAGCACATAAGAAAAACGTAAGTTAAGTTTATCTTCTAGCCTAGTTACCAAATTATTTCTTAAATAATCAAACCCTAGTTCGCTGCCGGTAGTGTAAACAATGGTGCAATTGCTATAAAGTTCTTTTTTTTTTTCGGAACTATGGCTATTGGAATTAAAACCCGAAGTAATCCCAAAAAAATCAAAAATTGGCTTGGCCAAATTTCAATCGCGATTGGCTAAATATTCATTAACCGTAATTACATAAACCGGTTTGCCGGAGAGAGCATTTAGACAAATGGGTAAAAGAGCAGTTAAGGTTTTTCCTTCCCCCGTATTCATTTGGGCAATATTGCCATGGTGAAGCACAATGCCCCCAAAAATTTGGGTCGGAAAGAGCCACAGCCCAATTTTCCGGTGGACAACTTCCCGCACTAGCACAAAAGCGGGCACTAAATTTTTATCCAGGTTCTTATCGGCTTTAATTCTTTTCCGCAGAGCAACGACCTTTTTTTGTAATTCTTCCTCCTTTAAGCCACTGGTTTTTTTTTGCTGGGAGAGAATTTGTTTTTGCAGCCGGGCGAATTTGCGAAGAATAGTTTTTTTTCACAAATTATCAAACATATTTATATTTTTAGCACGCTTATTTTTAATAAATTTAAAAAAACTTAAATTTTTGCTTCTTACAATTAAACAACAACCACTAAAATTTAAATAAAAAACTTTTAAATGCTGATAATTAAAAAAAATCTTAACTGACGGGAAAGAACCATTGTTCGCTCTTTTTTAACCCAACTGCTTGGGAAAATTGTAGCCTGAATTGCTTTGGGAGTGGGATTATTTTTTTTAAAGGGACATATTTCCCGCGACATCTTTGGTGAACTTTACCAAAAAATAACTAAAAGTCAAAATCCGCATCTGCAAGAATTTTTTTTAGGCACCGGGCTGGCGGACCGGCAAAAATTACTAAATTATGCTCTATTTTTTTTAGGGATTATCCTCGTTTTAAAGATAATCGTGGCCCTTGGTAATTTAACTTTAAAATTACACGATAAGTGTATTGAAAATAACAAATTTTATATTTATAACTTTTGAATATTTGTGTTAAATAGTGTAGCCCGA